GTAGCAAGCTACTTTCAGTCTGTTGGGAACCAGTGACTGGGATCACACAAACTCTTGATATTTCTCCCATCCAAGTACTAACTGGACTAACTCTGCTTAGCTTCTGAGACTGACTAGATTGGGATGGCATGGCTGTAAACAAATATTTACTGTTGCTAATGGGGCTGAGCTACATAACTTTTTTGAATTAGCTAACTGGCAGTAGCATTTTTGGGTGTATGAGGGTAAGCTATTTTCTTATGATCTCCATATCAAGTTAGAAATCCAAGCCCAAATCAAATTCTGTCATATGGAGATGTTTAAGTGGCTTTAGCAAAGTTTCTGCAATCTGTCCATAAGCTCACTGAGTTCCACTTATGGTTTAAGACATCCACCCACCCTTTCATATCAAAGTTCCACTTGATCAGAGACCAGACAATATTGTTCCAACCTAGTCAGTAGCAGCAATTAAAACCTCTCAGACAATAACAACAACCAAAACTTCTCACACAATAACACCAATCAAAACCTCTCAGACAGTAACACCAACCAAACCCTCTAAGACGATAACACCAATCAAAACCTCTCAGACAGTAACACCAACCAAACCCTCTAAGACAGTAACAGTAGGAAAATTGTTTAGGAACCAAACTTCAGCACCGTTTCTACAGGGACAGGCTACAGCCCTAACAGGACTCTTCTTTTTAATGAAAGGATAAGGGACTTTTCTTAATTTAGTCAATTTACAACCTTGAATTTCTTTAGTTACCAAGGAAATCTACAACTATCTTATATTGATCCATAAGCTACTAATTTCACAAGGAAAACATTCAAAGATCATCAAAATCCCTATCCATGACAGATCTGGATGCTCAAGTACTCCTAACATCTCTATGATAAATAAAGGTGTTAGGCAGCTTAGAGGCAGGCAGGAAATCCAAACAGATAGACAAGAAGAGAAAGGAGAGCAGAGAGCATGCTGCCAGCCGCCACCAGGAGAAGCAAGATGTAAAAGTACCCGTAAGCCACAAGCCATGTGGCAAAGTATAGATTTATAGAAATGGGTTCATTTAAGATGTAAGAGCTAGCTAGTGAGTAGCCTGAGCCATTAGGCCCTATCATTGGTAAATAATATAAGCTTCTGTGTTTATTTGGGTCTGAGCGGGATACAGGAAAAACTTCAGCTACATGAAGTTTAATGAGCTCCAGTGAGACACCACCCAGAGGAGGGCGTCCTCGGGCAGAGCAGGCGACACTTGGGTGCTGTTAAAGGTCATTTCACATACAGCCAATGAATGAACACAAGCTGGGTTTTACAAGTTTCAGTTTTGTCTTTTTAAAGTTTATATCATTTTCTTTTTGGTAAAATTTCACTTGCCACAAATAGGAAGATAGCCTTTTTCTTTTTAACTTGTTTATTCTCCATTTTATGTATCTACCTAGAATTTATTTAACCACTCAAAATGATGAGATTCATTTATTAAACTTTCATAAGTCGCAGAATATCTGATGGAAATTATCCCTATAAAAATTAGTTGCAGTTGCTTGAAGCAGGAGATTTGGCAGTCTCGACACTTGGAGTAGGGCTCTTTCAGAACGACAGAGCTGGGGGATATGTGGAGCTCAGTGGGGAGAGTGCTGTCCATGCAAGCCTGGGAACCTGTGTTCAATCCTCAGGACTTCAGAAAACCCTGGATGCGGTTGTGTATCTGCAATCCCAGCACTCTAGGGCAAGATGGGAGGCGAAGAGAATCAGAAGTTTATGGTCCAGCTAGTCTGGAGTACGTAGCACATGAAAAGAAAGACCTGCTTCAATAAAGGGTAGAAGGATAGACCAAACTGAAGAGTCCTCGGACCTTCATATGTGCGTCTACATTCATTTTACAATTTTTTGTATGAATATATAGACTCCTCCCCTTCCTGCCTTCGCACTCTGTTTCTTGTCGCCTGAAATAAAACTTAGGGGGATGAACACATTAGGCAAGTGCTGAGCCACTGAACTTGAGCCTCACTTTGCAGCGTTACTTTTAAACACACCAGGTTATATGCACCTAGGCACATTGATACTGTAGCAGATTGCCCTTTAGGGCATAACATAGGCCAAACAGCTTTATTATCAACCAATCAGGGCAACACATATTCACAGCACACAGAAAGACATCCACAGCAAGCTCGTTTAAAAAAATAAATCTCTAGGTCAAGGAAAACATACATAAAAACTCTTTATTAAGTCAGCACCTTGATGTTAGAATGATTTGGGGCTGAATAGGCAGCTCAGTGATTAAGAGCACATAATGCTCTTGCAGAGGACCTGAGTTTGGTGCCCAGCACCTACCCGGGGAAACTCACAACTGCAACCCCAGTTCCAGATTGTCCTCTGTAGACACCTGCACTCAAGTGCACACACTCACACATATAATTAAACATACATTTAGACAACCACAACCCCCAACCATATGCACCTAAAAAAATAGTTTTAAATGTAGATGTCTACCCTTCTTAACTAACTCTATCAATAGACTCAATTAAAAAATTGTTTAATAAATAGCAAGTTAAAACACAATCTCAAAGTAGAGATTCTTCCATCTAACAAATATTAATGAATACCTAGGTACACAATGAACAAACCCCAAAATCATGTGTATCCAATTTTTAATGTATTGTGTGTGCTGATGGAGAGGGGTTAGTAGAAACCAGTTAGAAAAATTCTAAATGTTATAATATTTTCTTACTTTAAATATAAAGGTGTAGCTGGAGTTTTCCTGACTGGCCCACAGTCAGGACAAATCTCTCTCACCCGCCAGTCCCAAGCCGCTCAAACCCGATCAAGTAAACACAGAGACTTATATTGGTTACAAACTGTATGGCCGTGGCAGGCTTCTTGCTAACTGTTCTTACAGCTTAAATTAATCCATTTCTATTAATCTATACCTTGCCACGTGGCTTGTGGCTTACCGGTACTTTACATCTTCCTTGTCCTGATGGCGGCTGGCAGAGTCTCCCTCACTCAGCTTTCCACTTCCCAGCTCTATTCTCCTCCTTGTCCCGCCTATACTTCCTGCCTGGCCACGGGCCAATCAGTGATTTATTCATTGACCAATCAGCAACACATTTGACATACAGACCATCCCACAGCATAAAGGAAAACTGTAGTCCCTCAAATGTCAACCGGTTCCCTTTCATAATTATATTTTAGGGCTGTTCTAAGAGTTCATGGAAACAGAAAATATTTTGACACTTAATAGATTCATCCATTTCCTTCTCAAGACACACACTACAGTTCACAAACATCGACCTGCCTGGTAGCTGCTGGACATACTGAGATTGTCTGGGATACTCACAAGTCATCACTAGTAACCCTGGGCCTTAGTCACCTGCTTTCTCCAGTGCTCTGTGTGCTATTTTAGGGTGGAGCATTCCAAAGGCACCCTTAAATTTTGGTGGATAGCACTGAATCATTTTTAACCATCATTAGTCTTGGGTACTTTTATTTGGGGACAGGAGTCATAATGCCTGGAATAAACAGATAATTGCCAGGAACGCTAAATGAATCTTGCAATAGAATGTCAGTATTTTCCCATGACAAAATATCATACCTCTAAACAATCAGTACCTGTTTACATTGTTATTACCTAGCCCGGTGGTAAAGAGTCAGAACTTTATTATAGTCATGTGTTTTTTTTTTCTACTTACAGGGCTATGGTTTAATATGTTTTGTTAATGACAAAAGAATCTATATGCCACAAAAACTATTTTAGTAAAAACTACCCAGAAAAATACAAAAATACTCAATAGCTGGTTTTGATTTGGTCAAGAAGCTTCTGTAGGCAAATGGAAGGTGTCAGGTGCTACCTGCACCATGCAGCTCTGAGAAGAAGAAAACCTGTAACCCCAAAGGCTGTCCGTATGGTGTTCAGGGAAAAATAAACTACAGAGCTAGGCATGGTGACACAAACCTTTAATCCTAGCACTCAAGAGGCAGAGCCAGGCAGATCTCTGTGAGTTCGAGGCCAGCCTGGTCTACAAAGTGAGTTCCAGGACAGCCATAGCTGTTACATAGAGAAACCCTGTCTGGAAAAACCAAATTTTGTGTGTGTGAGAGATGGGGATGCTGGAGAGCTGGCTCAGTGGTTAAGAGCATTGTTGCTCTTGCAGAGGACTGGGGTTTGCTTCCCAGAACACACTTGGTGGCTGACAACTATCTGTAACTCCAATTCTAAGGCATTAAGGCCTTCTTATGAACTCTGCAGGCACCAGTCCCATATGCAGTGCACATCTGTCCAAAGTAGGCAAAAACACACATACACATAAATGAATAAATTAAAAAAAGATAATCACAGGAACAGTACAATAAGACATACTTTATGGCTATATGAAAACATTTATTCACAAAATAAAAATATTTGCAAAATGGGACCTTGCTCCTGTCTTCTCCAAGAGTCTCTATAGACAATCCAGTATAAAATCAGGAAGATTATGTAGTCAGAGTGACAATACAACTATAAATACATACACATATTCACAATGAATAACTCAGGACTCAGAAACTTCTTCATCGGGGCAGCAGTAATATTCCACAAAACATATTTGCCCATCTTCATTTCTAATCATGTACTGTAAGGAGAGGAATCCTCGATTATCTGTCCGAATAGATACTTTACAGGATAAAGCTAATGCCTTTGTAGAGGGTTTCAGTAAAGAAAGTTTGTATCTGTAGGAGAGTAAATGAAAAGCTGTTATTTGGGTCCACTAAATGCACTGCACATAACACTAAGTAAAGGACAAAGTTAGCCAGGAACAACTGAGCAGTAAGTACTTGCCAATGCGTCAGTCTTTTCTCTCACTTTATCTACCTGTGATTACAACCCAATATCCTCAAGTAAATACAGAGCCCATCCATCTATTTTTTTTAAATGTGATACATTTTCATATATTAAAAATTACCTGTTTTGTTTTTATATGGAAATTTGGTACTTAACTTCATCTTTATCAACAATGCAACCTTTATATTAAGAACTGACCTGTTAACCTGGGTCTTATTACAGTGAAATGCTTCCATCAAGTCAGAATCTTTGGGATAGTCAAGGTGGGAGCTTCCTGCATTTCCAAAAGTAGATAACCTATAGGTGAAAGTAAGTTACTCATTTATTCATCAGTTCAATAATAAGCAATATTAGGATCTACCTTAATCGCTGCCTTAAATGACATATACAAAACTGGTCATAGGGACTGGGGAGATGGTTCAGTGCATTTGCAGTGCAAGCCTCAGGAACTGAGTTCAAATCCCCAGAACTCACATGAAGGTTAGACATGACTACATATCTATAACCCTACCACTAAAAGATGAAGACTGAAAGATTCTCAGAGCCCAGTAGGCAGCTGCTTAGCCAAAATGAGGAGCTTGTGATTCAAGGCAATAAGATGGAGAGCAGAGAGAGCAGACTCTCAATGTCCTTTGCTGACCTTACATGTGCACATAAGGGCAAAGGCACCATACACATAGACCACACACAATGTGTGTGTGTGTGTGTGTGTGTATTTATAAATATAAAAAATATTATGTATATATAAATATATAAAACAATAAAAAAAAAACTTGGTTGCTTGGGCGTTCCCACATAATAGGCCCAAGCTGTATAGTTCAGATTGGTCTTGTACTCAATTCTCTTGCTTCCGCCTCCAAATGCTGAGACTACTGGCATGTACCACCACACACAGCTAAAAAACACCTTACCAGCACCATAATGAAGCTTTCCACAGGACGTTGTAGAAAGTATCCAGTAACAAAATATTAAAATACTTTTACTTTCTACTTTTATTCACGTGTGTGTGTGTGTGTGTGTGTGTGTGTGTGTGTCTGTGCATGTGACTCCAGGTGCTCTCAAAGATCATTTTGGAGCTGCAGTTACAGGCAGTTGTGAGCTGCCTGACACGGTGCTCAGAATGAAACTTGGGTCCTCTGAAAGAGCAGAATATGCTCTTAATTGCCTGAACTATCTCTGCAGCCTAGAAACAGCTCTGAAGAAAATCTCACATCAGAGTACACGCTATATACTCTATACAGCTGTATAATCAGAATTAACTTTCCTTATTCATATATATATATAAATCTGAATATACCTCAGAGAACTGTTAATAATGGAAAACCTTGATCTAAACCACTGTAAGTGTGGGTCCTGTTCCTAGCTTTTACTGCTGAACCATTTACATGTAGTTCTGCCTTTAAATTATGCTTCACTATTATGGCATTTCTGTGTGTTAGACTGATCTTAGAAGTTTAACGATCTTGCCCATTGTACCGTTGGCAAATATATACACTTCTGAGTTTAATCTCCAAGAACTGCGTAGCATTTGTTATGGGAGGAACATGCTGAGAAGCACAGCGATCTGACCTGGGAGATCTTCCCCAAGCTCAGTGTCTTCTCTCCAGGTTCCCAGTCAGTCAGTCTTCTCCTTTCTAATACAGCTTCTCTCCTAGTATCTTATGCTCCACTATCTTGCAGTTACGATGGTCCTCAGATCTAAATGTCCAGTCTAGGCTGATTTCCTGAGCACTGTGTCCAAGTATCTAATTACCCCAGTGCCATATGAACTTCAAATTTTAGCATATCCAGAAAAAGAATTCACTACCATTTCCACACACTAAATTGTTTCCTGTTCTGGAAATACAGGACCTATCTAGTTCTTTCTGCTGAGAGTTGATTTGGAAAAGGAGCTGCTGACGTTTGTTTTAATCGGGGTGTCATTGCTTTCCATTTTGGTTAACTTTTTGACATAACATGAGTGAAAGTTTTATCTGACCAATATCACAAGAAAGAGCCTGCTGCAATTGTTCCTAAGTAAAAAACAAACACCCCCCCAAACAATTTATATTCTCTTATTTCATATCTTCAAAATTGTTAAGTTCTATAAAATTCTAGTCCTGAAAAAAAGAAAAAAAAACCCACAGAAATTTTACTGGCACAAATGTCAGAAGAGTTTCAACACCATATTCTTGCTGAAAAATGCCTGGACCTATGAGGTTCACCTGGACCAACCCTCCAAGTACTCAAGTACCGTTTCCCAAGTACTTAAGAGTATTATCTTGGTATTTAATGGTTTGCAATTTTGTTCTCTGCTGATTCACACATTTTTTTCTTCTACCTTAATTTTAAGGTGTTTTTACTAGTCTGAAGATGGATTTGTATATTAGATTATCAATAGCTACTAAGTTTAAAAAAAAAAAAAAACTACCAGCAATATCTACTTCCTTTTGTATCCTGAACTAACTTAAAAAAGGAAAAAAAAAGCCAGGCGGTGGTGGTGCACGCCTTTAATCCCAGCACTTGGGAGGCAGAGCCAGGAGGATCTCTGTGAGTTCGAGGCCAGCCTGGACTACCAAGTGAGTTCCAGGAAAGGCGCAAAACTACACAGAGAAACCCTGTCTCGAAAAACCAAAAAAAAAAAAGGAAAAAAAAAAAAGATACCATATAAGACAAACATGCTGTTTAAATGTTTTAATCCAATATTCTTTTTGATGTAACCTCATCTACATCATGGAATACAGCAATGAAAATACCAGTAGTTTGTAGATTATGAGAATGGGCTTCTCATCACCAAACCAACAGTGCCCGACTATAAAATGCTAAGTAAACTGATTATTCTTATGTCTTAAATTTCCTATCTTGAAGTTGTAAAATTATAATCAAATGCTTCTGAAAATTTTGAAAACTCTAGGATGGGTAAAAAGTCCCTGCAACTCAAGCAAATGCTGGGTGGAGAGTTGGATCCACTACCAGACCACATTAAGGATAACTGTACTCATGTACCTGAAATGGGGCTTGTCAGGAGACACAGTGATCTGTAGAACATCACTTGTCATGTCCAACTCAGAAAATGCTTCACGGAGCCCCTCGGACTGCAGGATAATCTTATTCATAACATTGGTGCTACAGAAATCAAAATCCAGAGTCTCTTCAGGCTCCTGAGTGTTAATTTTGCAGACTGTCACCACTCCTCCTTCTTCTAGAAACAGCATCAAAGGGTGACCATAACCTTGGTAACACATCCGAAGTGCAGTGAGTGTCCCTGCAATGAAAGAAGTCATACAGGCTGAGCTCTGTGGCTCTGGATTTAGCTTTCCCTCCAAATGACACACAATGCCTTAAGAATAATTTATTCTGCTAAGCTTCTAGCATGTATGTCTCTTCTTAAAGAATCCCAATTCCTGTAACTGCAAGGAAACTGGGAGCAAACCTAATTTGTTGAAACAAATTTTCCACTTAAAATGGAAAACATGCCGCAGAAAAATGCTTACTCATATACAATGCCTCCTACTGAGATACAGTATTATTTAAAATCAAATTGGTAGCAATAGAGGGTAGCCATTGGTGATGTTATTTAACACCTTACACCCCTACAGAGGAGGAATATAAAATATTCCGGCTCCTTTCTACTGGCTAGAGAGCCAGTAAGGGATATGGGGAAGCACATGTTCTTAGGAAAAACCAGCTGGGGAACGCTGCAATATGAAACACATGGTTAAAAACATATGTGTACTGCAGTACGTGTATGACGGTTGTGAGTGTGGGTGCATGAATGCCATGGCATGCCCATGGGTTTCATGGAACAATTTTTGAGTTGGTTCTCTCCTTCTACCACAGGACCTGGGAATCAAACTCAGGTTTTGTCAGGCTTGCTGGGTACGCACTCTTACCCACTAAGCCATCTCACTTGCTCAAAGTGTGTAATTACTCAGTTACAGACTGTGCCTCAGACCCATTATCCCAGTATTTTGACAGCATAGACGAGATCACAGTCAGGGTGTCCATAGTATGGCAGAGTACACTGTAATCCCAGGACTTGGCAGATGAGGCAGAAGTATCCCAAGTTTAAGGCCAAGCTGAGCTAACTCAAGAGCCTGTCTACAAACCCCAAACTAACAGTGGAGCTGCCAGTGCAAAGCCATGGTTTTAGGACTATCACTGATGCTCTTAGCTCACACTCAAGCTACTGTCCTATGAAAGAAAATCATTCTTGGGTTCTTCTGGGATTCTTCTATTGTAGTCTTATGCCCATGGCAACTGAATTTCCTAATCTCTAAAAATAATTTCCTAAGCAAGTAAAAATATATTTTGAAGAAACTATTTGAGGAAACAGACATAATTTATAAGTCTTATTTTAATTTCAGCAAACCATTTTAAACACAGTCAACTGGGAGTCAGGAAAATTTGTTTTTCTCTGCCTGTAAGTAGATGTTAATTCTGAGTAAGTTAGAGAAAATATGTAATTAAAACAAATTTCACAATGTTAAACATATAATTTATGACTGTTTAAAGTCTTCTTTGATTTTAAACTTGGGATCTTGGAGACTTGTGTGATGACTCTGTAAACTTGACAGGCTCTAGACTCCCCTGGGACACAAAGCCCTAGGTGTCTGTGAGGGAGTGAGGTGGCGGAAGTCTCACCCTAACCGTGGGTACCACCATTCCAAGGGCTTCCGTCAGGGACTTAATAAAAAGGAGAAAGTCACCCAAGCAGCTCTCTGCCTCCTGCCTAGGCTATAATGTGACCAGCTGCTTCAAGCTCGTTTCATGCCTTTACTTGCCATAATGGACCACACCCTCAAACTGGGGGCCAAATGAACCCCTACAGGGCCTTTGTCAGTCACTCTGTCACAGCAGCAAGGAAGGTCACCAATGCACCCGGTAAATTAAGATGAACTAAGATGAGTAAATACCTCCACAAATACATAAAGAACTACAACCATACAGTGAACTGATACTTTGAATATTTATTTATGTTCTAAAATTATAACCACTGGGAGGAAAATGAATCGGAAATTAGTTTTCCTTTACTCTTTGAAAATTTAAACCATTGTGTATTCATGTCCACCCTGTACTACTTCTCTCTGTTGGACTCCTCCACCTGTTCTAAAGAAATGTGATTTTCCTCCTCTAGCAGCCATCAAGTGCCAAAAGCTTCTCCACTCTGGGTAGGGCCTCAAGAGCCCTTCCCATAGCAATCAGTATCCTGACTAAGTATTTACTGGTCCGGGGTTGGAGCTCAGCTGGCAGTGCTTGCCTAACATGTATCAAGTCCTGCATTCAATTCCCAGCACAGAAAAATACAGCACATCAGATGCAGAGGCAGGAGGATGAGAAATTCAAGGACATCCTCAGCTACAGAGCGAGTTCAAGGCCAGTCTGGGATACATGAGACTGTGTCTCAAAAAAGAAGTTTACATTCTAAAATTCTTCCTGTATTTTTCCAACCATAGTACCTGTATGCCTTCATCATCATCACCATCACCACCACCATCATCATCATCATCATCATCATCATCATCATCATCATCATAATATAGCTCACCTGGCGTAGGACTTGATCCAAAAATAGATAAACAGTCTAAAAGGATAGTTAAGTTAATTCGGAAAGTAACAGATTCTTCCTGAATGATAAATTCTTGAAACACTTCAGCCTATGAGAAAAGAAAACACAGAAGTGAGGTTATAGTAAAGAATGACAATTCACATGTAAGATTCTATATTTCACTTTATACTTAAAAAGTAACAATACTGTGCCAACTGCATGAGAATAATTTCTCATTCTCCACTAAGATATCAATTTTTCAACCATTACCCACTAGAATACTACTCAATGGTTTAATAGTTACAGGTATAACACTAAGTTGAGTCCCATTTAGAAGCTCCTGAAGTGGGGAGGGGAGGGAATATGATGAAATTATATTGTATGAAAAATTTTTAAAAATTTAAAAGTGAGCCTGGAGAGATGGCTTAGCAGTTAAGAGCACTGGCTACTCTTCCAGAGGACCCAGGTTCTATTCCCAGCACCCATATAGTAGCTCACAACCATATGTAACCATTTCCAGAGGATCCAACACCCTCTTCTGGAAGGTACTCTGAAGGTACCAGGTACATACCTTTTGCAGACATTCATGCAGGCAAAACACTTAATACACATAAAATAAAAAAAAAAAAAAATTAAAAAGCCACAAAAAAAAAAAAAGACCCCTCCTCAAGCAGGGGTCCTTCATCTTCACTTCTGGATATAAACCTACCACCCATGTGAGCTTTCCCTGCTCCTTCCTTGAGCCCATCAGTTAAGACTAAAGTCACTTGTGAATAGAACAATTTAATAATGCATGCATCATAATAGTTTCCAATTTCTTTTTTTAAAAGTTAATTCTATGTGCGTTGGTGTTTTGCCTGTGTGAGGATGTCAGATCCTCTGGAACTGTGGTTACAGACAGTTGTGAGCTGCCGTGTGGGTGCTGGGACTTGAACCTGGGTCCTCTGGAAGAACAGGCAGTGCTCTTAACTGCTGAGCCTCTCCATTTTCTTTTGAAGACAGAAACCATGTTTTATTTATTCCTCCATTTGTGAGGTCATACTACACACATGTTCAAAACTATGAATTGATGTTGAGATCCGATATGAACCATATAAAGAGTTAGATTGCAGCTGTAAGAATAAATTATAGCTATGGGTGATGGTGCAGGGCTTTCATCCCAGTACTTCAAGACAAAGTAGGGGCAAGTCAATCTAGAACTTGAGTTCAGTCTGGTCTATAAAACAAGTTCCAGGTAACCAGGGTTATATGTTAGATGTTAGACCCTGTCTCAGCAAAAATAACAAAAAAACAAAACGCTATTACAGCCAACAAGAGGGAAAACTAAACCGTGCAGGACAATAATTATAAAGAGTAAACAAACATTGAGTTTTCATCTTAAGACAGCTGAAATTAAATCGGTTGCAGTTGCCACTTATGTAAATAGGGATGATATTCGTGCCTATTTTTGTAAAGATTAAAAGAGGTAAACGACAGCCTGGGCTACAGAGTGAGTTCCAGGACAGGTGCCAAAGCTACGCAGAGAAACCCTGTCTCGAAAAACCAAAAAAAGAAAAAAAAAAAAAAAAAAAAAAGAGGTAAACGATGAGAAGAGTATCTCACAGTTTAACCTTAATAAACTATCATTAGTGGGAAAAGCATTTGTTGGCAGGAAAGAAAAAAAAAAAACAAGAAATGGCATTTATTCTCTAACTTGAATTTTTTCGAATAAGTCCTTCAAAATTCATTAACTAGGCGAATGCTTACAAGTGCCTCCTCTCCCCCATACCTGAATAAAGGCATTTGCTTGCACGCACTTTGCGTTTTCCACTGTAACTTTGAGTCCATTTTTAGTAGCAAAACACGCGGCGTGTTCTTTAAAATGAATGGCTTTCAAGACCGTGGAGAGATTCCTCACGTTGTCAAGGCTGGCCACCAGGCAGTACTGTTCGTCCTCGTCCTGAACGTGCTGGGTTAGGAGAGGCATGGACGGTCCCGGCACAGTCGGCTCGGAGAGAGGGGTGCTCCTCTTCCGGAAGACCTCTGAAAACCTGAGAGACGCACAACAAACCTGGCATCAGGGCTGAGAAGACTGGCCCCCTCAACCCGAGCCGAAACCGGCTGACCAGGGAGAGCCCCACTTCTGCCATTTTAACGTTTGGGGAAATTCTATCTCCCTGTTTCAAAACTACGGTTTCCTCGTCTTTCACGGGGGGGAAAAAAAAAAGCAATTCACGGTGCAAAACTGGCGTGTTTTCCACAGGTAAAGAAATAGGTTACAGAGCCTGCTTAGAGCCTGTTTGGCGTCTCCTAGCGCCACCAACCCGGCCATCCACCGAACCGGAGCGGCCGCGGCCCCGACAGTCACCCCGCTCACCAGCTCGCTCGCCGCACAGCGGCGCTGCCACTAAGGGGAGCCCCGGGCCCCAGGCCCCTGCCTCTGAGGTGATGTCCGACGCCTCAAGGCCCTTTCCAGCCCAGCCCCAAAGAAGGACACCCTGAGCGTCCCGAAGCTAGCAAGCCTGGCAAGCAGCTCCCGCCGCCGTTCAGATCCGCCGCCACTTGGGCCACCGTCACCACCGAGCCGCCGCGGGCCTAGATAGTCTCCGACGAGACCGGAAGAAGGCGCCCTACAGCTGGATGACTAACCCAGAGCCTAGTGTGTGCTACCATAGAGAACGGAAGGCGGAGCGAGCGGCAGAGCCGGAAGTGCGGCCTGCAGCTAACGCGGCGGGGCAAGATGGCGGCGACCAAGAGGAAGCGGCGTGGGGGCTCGGAGGTTCAGGCAAAGAAGCCGAAAAGGAGCCGGAAAGATGCCGGGCAGCCCGCTAAGCCGGACGCTGTGGCGAAAGAGGTGGAGGAGGAAGATAGAGATCGCATTCCAGGTCCCGTTTGCAAGGTAAAGGGCCCAACTGCGGGGCTATGTGTGGCGTAAGCTTCGGGACCCGCTTTTTGGCTACCGACGTGACAGCAGCCAAAGCTGTACTGGCTCACGAGCTCAGGGGTCCCCTTGACTGGACTGGACAGTGTATATGTCTAATATTCGTGCAGGTAGCCTCCTTAAGACAGCCGTCCGTAAACCCGTAGCCAGCTCACAGGGAGGCGATTGAACGGGGTATTTATTTCTAGTATTGTGTTTTCACTCGACCCCCGCCTCACCAGGGTAGTGTTTTACCTTGTTTTTGTTGTTGTTTGTTTTGCTTTTTCTCCTTTGGGTGTATCTACTCCATTCCTTCCGTATCTTGCCATGTTGGCCGGTATCAGACAGGGATACCGAAGTTTGCTTGCCAAGCCTTAAAGTTATTGTCTTGTGAGTCTAACTTGCTTGGTTGGATCTTAGGGATAATAAAATACTAGAAGAGACTATGAGTTCTTTCTGTGTTCAGCAGTGCTCCTTACTATAATGCAAGGTGAGCTTCCCCGGCCTTGGCATCTCTGAGATGATGAACAAGAAAACTTCTTCCAGAAATACTGGCCTTTAGAAGGAAAGAAGGCTTCATAGAAAATTGCATGTTTATTTAGAGGGCGAGCAGAGTTAACTTTCAGTCAGCTGAAAACCCCTTAAGCAAGATGTATTAATGGAGGAAAAGATCTTGCCTTAGACTTGTCAATGCCTGTCCTGTGCTTGGTGTATTACTACTTTAGTATTTAGGTAAAAAGGAAATGTTACAAGTGAGCATAAATTGTAGCCCAGTTCTAATTAACAGTTAAATCTTGTACTCTTCTCTGACAGGATAAAAAATGCTTTCGAGAAAAATGAGCTGGATTTTAAGGTTTTCAACACGTGTTAGTGCTCTCCCTCTTTTAGGAGCTGGACAGAAACATGTTGGAATCTAATCTGAATCACACTGTGATACATTCATTGGAATTCATGAGACACTTTTAGGATAGTAAGGAAAGATGAAGGACTTAGCCTTTGAGCTTGATTTCAAAGAAAGGGTTTTATTTTGATATTCAAAGAGAGAGTGAATGACAGAAGAATTCATCAAAGGCATTGAGGTGGGGAAATACAGAAAATCTAAAAATTAGAGCCAGGTTGGATGCAGGGCCAGTGTTGGACAGTGGTGAAGTAAACAGTCAAAATGTGTTTCAGACTCCAATCATAGAGGGTATATGCCGTTTTGAACTTTGGAAACCCCCGGGAGGTAAAGTCATGACTTGGACAGCGCTTTTAAATTATGCTGGTTAGATAACTGTCAGAAGTACTTCTCTCTGGGAAAGCCAGACATTCAGGAGCTTTGCAGCTGATAATCAGTTATCAGGGTTTAAGTAAGGACACTGTATAAGATTTACAAATTGTTGTAAAGAGGTACTGATAGTATTTAGTAGTGCTTGTGATGTATGTCTAAGAAAATAAGGACAAATGGGATATTCTGAATCGAGGAACTGAAATGATGGTAGCAGAAAGGAGGAAGGGAGAGAGGAAAGGTGAAGATTGGGAAGGAAATTTGCCGGATACAAGTAGGTAAAGTTTAGTGTTACACGCTTGAGTTCGAAGCTTTACTCTTAATACATGTATTATTAGGGCTAGAAAGACTTCTTACCTTTCTTTAGATAGTTAAAACTGGAAATGAGCATAGGGGACTTAATGGAGAGAATAAAAATTAAAAAAATGAAAGGGTGCTACGAATGAATCCTTACAGTAGTAAGGAGCAATTGAAGTGTTCTTTGTTTTGTTTAATGCTTGTTTTAGACAGTTTACTATGTTCCTAGGATAGCCTTACATCCCTAGGTTCAAGGGATCCTTCTGCTTCACCCTCACTAGCTGGGGCTATGGAGGTATACCACCATTCCTGGTTCTGGAAACTTTAAAACACTGTCATGAGAACAGACCAGATAAGTTCAGCACAAGATGTTAAAACCTTTTAATGTTTTCTTTTCCTTAGGGCAAATGGAAAAATAAGGAGCGGATCCTCATCTTTTCTTCGAGAGGAATAAATTTCAGAACAAGACACTTAATGCAGGACTTGAGAATGTTGATGCCCCATTCTAAAGCAGGTACTTCAGTATCACGTACTTTAAAATTTGTGTGTACGAACTCACCTAATTATATAGAACACAATACAAGGGTTGGGGGTACAGCTCAGCCAGTGAAGTAGAGAGTCTGAGTTTAATCCCCAGAACTGCTGCCATAAAGGAGCTGGGTGTGGTAGTTCACCATAGTTCACAATTACAACTTCGGTTCTCAGAAGGTGGAGGCAGCTGGATACCTGGGACTTGCCGGCAAGCCAGCCTAGCCAAGTTGGCAAGCTCTAGGCCAGTGTAAGTACCCTGTCTCAAAAAACAAGCTGAGCCGTGCCTGAAGATAAACACCTGAGGTTGACCTCTAGATGGATGGACCAGAACACACATACATTTCTAAGTTCATTTTTTTCAAGTACCACAGTTTTAAAGAAATTTAGCATTTTATAATAAACTGTTGACAAAATCCACATTTTCTTTACTTTCCTAAACATGTATCTTAATATAGAAACATTTTCTAAAAGTGTAAGGATACTTTCATTACAATGGCTTCCAAGGTCAGAAGATGGGTGAGATGCTAAGTAAGGACTGGCATATATTGCCTTCTGAACTTTTAAAACTTTATTTTACTTACTTACTTGCTCACTCGCTTATTTATTTATTTATTTATTCATTCATTCATTCATTTGAGGCAAGGTCTCACCGTGGAGCGCTGGCTAGCCTGGAGGTCACTATGTGGACCAGGCTGGCCTTGATCTGCCTGCTTCAGCCCAATGTTGGGACTAGAGTATGTGCCACCCACCACCCATGGCTTACCAGTGTTCTGTTGTAGAGACTAGTGAAAAGCGTTTGCTCTTGAGATTAGCTATCTGCACTGCTGTGTGTGTGTCTGTTTCCTGAGGATGTTTTTGTATTGCGTTTTACATAATGGTTTGGTTCTTTAGTGCTGCTCAAGCTGACATTGCCTGTGCTGTCTTCCATCCCTGAAACTAAATCAGAATTTTCATTGATGCCTTTCATTTATATGGTTATTCAAAGCCAATTTTAAAGTTGGTTTATTTGATTCAAAATTATATTTTCATTAGTTAAAATTATAAGTTTTGGCCAGGTGTGGAGGCACACACCTTTAGTCCCAGCATTTAGGAGGCAGAAGCAACCTGATCTCTTGAGTTCAAGGCCAACTTGGTCTACATAGTTTGTCTCTTTAATTTTGGGAGCTGGGTACAGCGGTGCTTACCTGTAACTTCAGTGATGGGGAGACGAAGGCAGGAGGATCAGGAATTGAAGGTCATCCTGAATTACATAAGTATTCTGAGGCTAGCCTGAACTACATGAGACCCTATCTTAAAGAAAAAAAATAGTTTCAGTTTTGAGTAAGGCCAGGTGGCACAGGCCTATAATTTCAGCTACTTGGAAGCTGGGGTCAGAAAATTGAAAGTTCAAGGCCTGCTGAAGCAAATTAGTGAGACTCTGTCTGAAATTAAAAGTAAAAAGAGGGCTGGGTAAAGTAAAAAAACAAACAAACAAACAAAAAAACCATAGCTCAGTGGTAGAGTGCCTGCCTGGCTTGTGCCTTGCCCCGGCTTCCAGTCTCCAATACAGTGGCAAGTGTGCACTGCACTATCTGCCCACTACTTGTTTAGTTTATATTTAAAAAGAAGGAAGAGGTGGAATGGTTTTAGGTCTAATCGGTCTTAAAAATCTTCTGTCACATTATCTACATAGCATATGTAATCAAAGCAAGGTAGTGTTCAAATCTGTAATTGCTTTCTCTTTTTCTTTTTATAGATACTAAAATGGACCGTAAAGATAAATTATTTGTGATAAACGAGGTAATTTTAAAATTAATTACAAATACTTTATTAACCCAAAGATGACTCATTTAACTAAGGTTATTTAGTGACTTGTGAAAAGCATTTTGTGAATAATTCAAATTTTATTAATTTCACTAATCTGTCAGTTATTTTTCTTCCGTGATAGCTAGTATGTGAAACTTACAATAGGTACTCTTAAGAATTATGAGTTAAGGGGCTGGAAAGATGGCTCAGCGGTTGAGAGCACTGCTTGCTCTTCCAGAGGTCCTGAGTTCAATTCCCAGCAACCACATGGTGGCTCAAGGCCATCTGTAATGAGATCTGGCACCCTCTTCTGGCCTGCAGGCAAACATGCTGTATACATGATAAATAAATCTTAAAAAAAAAAAAAGAATTATGAGTTAATTAGAATTAACCAACATATATGAAATTTAAAAAATGTTGGCTATTTATAGAAAACTTATAGAAAGTACTTTATCAAAAGTATTAAATGTGCAGAGAAAATTTGTTCTCACGGTATTACAGACTAGAAATAGTAAAACTTCAAAGTACTGTTGAAGATACTAAGCTTATATTTCAAAGCAAAATTTTCTAAACAGTTTTAAGATAATTCTTTGGCTGTTGAAAGGCTTTTATTTGGTAGTTTGGCACAGATGTTGCTATAACATAGCATTATTGTACAAGCTGTGGCAACATTGTTGACCAGAACTAGAACAGTTCCCTTTTGTCAGGGAGCTTTCATTCCAGTGAGGGAGATAGGACGTAAACAAGACTTATAATTTCAAGTGAAGATAGGAAGAATAAAGCAGTGTCTGTATTTTTCACTACTGAGCTAGACTAGAAAAGCCTTTCAGAAGGGGAGTTGTCAACCTACTATTCCAGACTTAAAAAGAAATCTGGTGAGAGAGCATTCCAGAACAGAAGGCAGATCTTTTAAGTCCTTAATATGATTCAAAATGAGCATGGTGTTGCTACCCCTTAATCCTGAAAGACCCCCGTCTGGAGTCTTCCCTCTGGAGAGACCCTCGCCCAGAGAGCACACCGAGACCACAAGTCAGATGCAAACAGCAAGAGGCTTTATTCCGGAACACGGGTACCCGGGGCGATACAGTCCCTCCAGAGGCTGAAGAGACTGGCGCGCGCACGGGCTGGAGTAGAGGGTTTTTATAGGGTTGGGCAGCGGAAGGGCGGGTACAGAAGCAGGAAGCATAGTTTACAGGGTTCTGATTGGACGATTCGTATGAGGCCAGGTTCAAACTCAGGACAGCTCGTGGTTTTTCCCCGAGCTCGACACGCCTGCTGACTTGGCTCTCATCCAGGGTACAAGTTGTTTTTCTGACCTCTAGTTACTTTTCAGGCCTTGCTCAAAAATGGCGTTAGGCTAAGCAAGTATGCTGGGGCCCTTCATTCCCCCATTATCTTATCTCAGGGAATGGAATCCTCCATTCATGGGGAAGAATAGGGATGTGACTCCATTTCCACCTGGTTGAGTCGTTGGTATTGTTGGGTCAATACCAAGGTCTGAATAGTAGAAACGCGTTCCCTGATAAATTGGACAAGTCTGTTTAGGATACAGGGCCCGAGCGTCAGAAGGAGCAATAAAATCAGAAGGGGTCCCATAAGGGTGGAGATGAGGGTGGTGAGCCAGGGGGACCTTCTGAACCATCCTTCAAACCATCCCTGCTGTTCTTCAAAGAGTTTTTGTCTTTGTTCTAATCTTTTTCTTAATCTAGCCATGCTATCTCTCACCACCCCAGTATGATCCGCATAGAAGCAACATTCTTCTTTAAGGGCGGCACATAACCCCCCCTCCTGCAGGAAGAGGAGGTCTAATCCCCTCCGGTTCTGCAGAACTACTTCAGACAGGGAGGTGAGCGACTTTTCCAAGGCACTCACGGATTCCTCCAGTGCCTGGATATCAGTATGCATGGCAACCTGGAGTTGTCTGAACTGGTTGGTTTCCATGAGGGCAGTGGTACCTGTGCCTATTCCGGCGGCGACTCCTCCCATAGTTAATCCACCTAATATCAGGGCCAGGGTTAGCGAGACTGGCTCTCTTTTTATACGGGGGACCCCTGTTTCATATCGGGCATAGATATCTTCAGGTGCATGGTAGACTATCTTGGGGTACAGTTCTATGAGCACACAATAATCGGCCGTGTTGGCTAGTATTGAGGAGGAGAGGCATGGTGTAAGTCCAGTGCTACAGGCCCAATAAGTTCCGTTGGGAGCCACGAGATAGTGGGGTCCTGGAACAAGTGCCTGGGTGCGATTACACAGGTGTTGGTGGGTGTAGGGTACTATCCCCAGACATAGTCCTTGTCCTGACACCTCGGAGATTGTGAGCTTATGCTGAGGTGTCGAGGCACATCCTGACGGGGGTGAAGAAGAATTGGTGAAGCTTCCGACTACGGCCACCCCCTCATAATAGGGAGGTGTGGAGACTAGGCATAACCAGCATTCCTGAGTCTGATTTGGGTTGGTAACATTGAGGGCTGAGTAAGCGCCCTCTATAAGATTCAATAGCCGGTCTCCCGTACCGGGCCTGGGTGGCTGGAGGGTGACTGGGGTTACAGTAGCATTTGGAGCCGTGCTTGGGCGAATGGCTGAATTGGGTCGGGGGGTAGCCCTCGGGGGTGCCGGAGCGGGTAAAGAGGGGCGCTTTTGGTCAGAGAGAACCTGGTTGGGACCTATAGAGGCGGAGGGCTCCGTGATTTTAAGCCTAATCGTAAACACGACTCCCTGGTCCCATCCCGTCATGTAAAGTCTAAGTCCCCATGTTTTACCTTTAATCCAGTCTTGTGTTATCTCCCTTCCCTTCTGAGTAAAAGATATATTCAGGGGGTTGCAGGTGAAATTTACACAGGGCCCCCCCCCCCTTCCCAGTAAGTGTTATCTCTTCCTAACGTGACAGTTCCCCAACAATGTCCTTGAGTAAGAGGACGCCATGAGTGGCTTTCTCTTTGGGTAGTTCTTTTTACCCTAATGAGGTCCCAAGTGGATGAAGGCTCCCAATAGGTATTACCAGTTGTTTCACATCCCCATGCTTTACAGAAGTAACTTTCATAACCCCCACATTGTCTAATCATCTTTCTGTCCCTACCATCCCGGGGGCAGACGTAAAAGGATAGTTGTGACAGGGCTGCTCTGGTTTCAGGGTGACCACATCCATATCTCCCGTCACTACATTTGCAAGTTCCCTTACCATCCTGACAGACGTCTGGTGCTCTGGGGTTCATGGGGTCAGTGGTGGGGATGTCCCAGTCCTCTGACCCTGCTACTAGTTGGCAGAGATCTGGATGCAAGTTAGGCCACCATGTGAAGGGGGTGTGAAGGGCGGCCGTTTGCCAGACCGTCTCCCCAGTTTGTGAGATAACCTGCCAAGTGAGCCTCTTAACTAGGTGCGGGCTCTCTGCCGCCCTAGTCCCCTGGGGGTAGGCAGAGATTAAGAGGAGGGGGAGGAAGAGGAGCCGCGGGCCAACCTTATTTTTAGGGGGTTTTGTGTGCGGCGCACTGTCCATGTTGACTTTCTGGATCCTGCTGGGTCGGGTTCCCTGGCAGCCTTCACATGCGAGGCGTGGATCCATGCAGCAATCCCGTCGACCTTGAGTGCAGTGGGGGTGGTCAGCAAGACAGTGTAGGGCCCCTTCCACCGTGGTTCCAGATTCTTGGTCTGGTGTCGTCGGACCCAAACGGAGTCCCCGATCTGGAAGGGGTGGGGCACCACCGGCTTGTCTAGCTGCTCCTGATAGGCCTTGGCCAGGGGCTTCCAGATCTCCCTCTGCACCAGTTGGAGGGCTTGAAGATGTGCCTCTAAAGTAGGGGTGGTAGCAAAGGAGGAAATATCAGGATGGAGAAAGTCTACAACAGGAGGTGGGGCCCCATACATGATCTCAAAAGGGGTTAGGCCGTGTGGGCCAGGGGTATTTCGGGCTCGGTAGAGAGCCAAGGGAAGTAGGAGCACCCAATCTCTAGTGCCAGTTGCAAGCGTTAATTTGGTTAAAGTCTCCTTGATTGTTCTATTAGCTCGTTCTACCTGTCCTGAGCTCTGGGGGCGGTATGCACAATGGAGTTTCCAATCAACCCCCAATAGTTTGGCCACCTTCTGACTTACCTGAGAGACGAAGGCAGGCCCGTTATCCGACCCCAATATTTGAGGCATCCCATACCTGGGGAAGATTTCTTCCAACAGTTTCTTTGTTGTCACGTTAGCCGTCTCATTCTTGGTTGGAAATGCCTCGATCCATCCGGAAAAAGTGTCCACGAAGACCAGGAGGTACCGGTACCCGTAGAGTCCGGGTTTTACTTCTGTAAAGTCTATTTCCCAATGAACACCAGGACGATGGCCTCTTTGGCGGGCCCCCTTGTTTAGATGAACCTTTCCTGCGTTGACTTGAGCACAGGCTGGGCAGGTAGAAGTTACCTGCTGGAGTACCTGATCCTGGTTCAGCAGCACTGCCCCGGTGTTTTCTCTGTCCAATAGGGTCTTCATCTTGTTTTTGCTCAAATGGGTCAATGCATGGAGGAATCTCAGCATGTATCGGGTATGGGAGGTTGGCATGACCATCCGGTCCCCTAGTATATATGCTTGTCTTCCTTGTTCCCAGTCCGCCCCCATTTTCTTTGCTAGCTCATGGTCTTCTGGGCTATAGGGCACGGGGTCTCTCTCAGGCTGTGGTTCTTGTATGGCCATCAACTGGCTGCTCCCTGCTGGCTGGGAAGCCACTGTTCGGGCAGTCAGATCCGCCAGCCGATTCCCTCTGGCTACCGCAGAGTCATCCTTTTGATGCCCTGGGCAGTGGACAATACTGAGTTGGAGCGGGAGGAACAGGGCCTTTAGGAGGTCTAGGATCTCTTTTTTGTTTTTGATTTCCTTACCCGCGGACGTCAGCAGGCCTCTCCGTCTGTAGATTTCCCCGTGGACATGTGCAGTGGCGAAGGCATATCTGCTGTCAGTATAAACTGTGAGCTTCTTACCTTCTGCCATCCGGAGAGCTTGGGTGAGCGCAATCAGTTCT